TCAGTTTTTTTACAAGCTTTTTGGTGAAGTTTTCCTTGTTTTGAGAAGCTTTTTTCGAAAATATGACTTGGACATATGGGCAGGACATTGTCATTGTGTTTTGAGTGGAAATGTCCTGTGCCTGCCATACCACTGTCTGATTCTGTGTGCGTGTGTGTGTGTGGCATACTTTGAAACGTCAGCAGCCGTTCGGGCAGTAAAAACAAATAGACAAGTGACAAATTTCACCCAAAAAAACACAGACACACACACACAAATACTGACTCTGCCAGAGCCAGAGTCAAGACCGAAGCCAACCAAGCATTAAATTAACATTTTTTCTAATTAAACTCTCTAGCCAGAGCAAAAGTGGTCTGCCAGTTAAGAGGGAAATGCAAAGATTTGCATAAACTGATTGTTTCGATAAAAAAAAAAGTTAAAGTTTGACATTTAACTTGGAGAAAATTAGAGCTTTGGCAATTAGAGCGGAAAAGTCAAGAATAAAGGTGGCTGCCTTTCACCTTTGGAGAGGCAAATTAAAGTTTCAATTGCGAGGAAACTTCAAGGTTTGTTGTAGTTTTTAGGAAGTCCTGGACTCATGGAAGTTTAATGAGAAATTTGGAAAGTTAATAAGAGTCGACAAACTGATAAGAAAAAATATATTAAAAATATAATTCTATTCTTAGTGTGCCCAAAACCTTCTATATTTAATAATTATCTTTCTCCTGCTATCCACAAACTCTGCTACCCCTCAAGGATCACTCTTGAAGCAGAGCAATAAAACAAGTCAAGGACTCCTCCTCCTCGTGGAACGCCCATCAATTGTTCTGTCGTGGCAAATGGGAAGCCTCCCCCCCCCCGGATTGATCGTAACATGATTTGTACCCCTACATCCACTTTATGGCGCAGCCGAAATCATTATATTAGCAAACATTTCAGATAGAAGTGCTCAAGCAGCATATATACACTGCTCAACAATAATAATGTCCCGACATTTATCACAGTTTTTTTTGTCTACACTTTTTCTGGACAAGTGACCGACTAAAGTGGCTCTAAAATTTCAGTGCCCAAATGAGTGGAGAAACTCCAACCGCTCCAAACTCCCACTCTCAAGAGGAGGGGGGTTTCAGGGTTTTTCTCCTGCCAAAAAGTACAACTGAAGAAAGGAAAGAATGAAAGAGAGATAAATAAATGTGCAAGAAGGAGGCAGAGCAACAACAAAGAGCCAAATGCCATAAATCTAAATAACAAATTTTTACGAGAAACGAGACCATAAATAAGATGTTTGTTGGTCTGTTGCGGCCGTGGCAGCGGTTCGAGGCCTAGCGCAAAAATAGTGTGGAAAAAACCAACACCACTCCACATTCTTTCCTTCTTTTCCCCCCCCCCACACACACACACACACACACATTTCCCAGAGGTTGCAACAATTCATGAGAGTTCTGTTAATTTAATATTATTACTTTTCATTACAACACAAGGGCCTACCGACCCACGAACCTCTCTTACTCGCTGTCTAATGGCTGCAACAAAATGGTTGTTAGTTTTTTTTTCTGTTGGTGCTTTTGGTTATATATTTCTTTGCGGGGACAGGAAGGTTGTCCCCAAAAAATGTCAACACATTAATGTAGAGACCGGAGACGGACGCCTAGAGATAAATCAACATTTATCTGCGGCCATTCCGCCTGACAATTGAAAATGACCCGAGGACCCGTCGGACGTCTATATCTTTCGGCTAATTGCGCTCCATTAAAGTTGTGAAATGTATTTTTGTCCTTGGGCTCGCTCGCTCGGATTTATCAATGTTACGAATACAAATCAACCAATTGTTAATGCTAATACGAGAAATATAGGCTGAAAAATGTTGGATAAAACGAGAGAAATGTTGATGGAAGTCATAAATAAAGGGGGTATGAAATTGGAAAAGTGGGAAAGAAATTAAATTGAAAATGGAAAATATATTTAAGTAAGGATTCTTCAGCATCTAAATACAAATTTCAAAATATATATTTAACCAAGGATAATCCCTGAAATAAGCTTCATAAGACCCGTAAATCTAGCTGAAAACTGACACCGAATTCCACCTACAGCCCCCGCAAAACTTTATCCTACAAAGAAATCATTGATTTATGATTGCTTTTCCCTGGTTTCCCCCGCCGCCTTCTATGGATTGATCACACACGTATTCTCGTCTACTGTTTAATTACTTTGCGCTAAAGCGAACTCAATCAAGCCGAAAGTTATCAATTTCGGATTACTGCCACTTTTCCCACCCACAACCAAACGGTAAAAGCAAACAGGAGGTAGAGCAATCGTGGAATCGACTTTAATCATATTTCATCCCAGACACTTCAGCCAGGCGGCAACCATGCCCACGCCACCCAAAACTTGCGGCTTGGATGATGGCAAAACTTTTGCTATATGTTAATTATGGCTACGGCATTTATTTGAGGCTTAATACAGCATATACTAGTATGCCCCATGTACATATATCGTAGTTTCCTGTTGTTTTGCTCTTAGTTTTTCTTGGTCTTTGGGGGAACAATATTCCTCCCACTGGTTTTTTTTGTTTTGGTTAGCGATTTTCCTCCTGGCCAGCCGGTCGCTTGCTCGCTCCGACGTTTTGCTGTTCCACATTCACATTTCTGTTCTGTTCTGTTTTTTTCCGTCCGCGCATTCCCTGTCTAAACGAAAACTTTTCAAATTATCGTAGCATCAAGTTTTCCTTTTTTTTTTTTTTTTTTTGGCCTTTTTTTCTGACGAGTGAAGTGGAACGGGAATGGGAATGGAGAGAGATTCGGTGTGGATTGGAGCCTGGAGTTGTGGCAAATTAATTAAAACTTGTTGCAAAAATAAGTTCGTTCCCATTTTTGCTTTACCAAAATAATATTTTGAGGCTCAACAGCAGAGAAAGAGAGTCAGTCGCGAGAGACGAGTGTCGCGTCGATTCTAGTGGACTGTCGACAATTGTCGTGGAGCGGGAAACTTTTGTGTCATAATTTCCAACACAGGACAAATTAGCCGGCTTAAATGGGTTGCTGGGCTGGCAGCAAAAAAAAAAAATATATGCCAACAAGTACCAGAGGCCGTTTGGTTGGGATGAGCCCCAAAAACCATTTACATGGCAAACAGCAAACAGTTTTGCATATGTTTTTAGACACTACTTTCCCCTGCCTGCGCCTGCAGCAGCAATGTTGTCCAACAGTTTGTCGGTCTGTCAACGCCCGAAGAGCTTTGGTCCCCAAAACTGAACAGAACAGGACGTGGGGGTAACGAGTAAAAGAAACAACAACAAAAAAACAGCAGAATGAAAGAGCCGCAACCCGCAACGAGTTGTACAAACATTTCACGCGGCAAAGTGCCGCATAAATTTCAATTTAATGCCACATACACAAAAAGAGGTGCGACAAACTGCAAACTGCAGAGGCAACAGCAGCAGCAGCAACAAAAAACATCAGAATGAAGGGCCAACTATAGGGGTTCGGAGCATTAGATACCCTTGCAGATCAATTCATGCAAGGATATGTTTGTTAAATGATAGAAAAATGCATGAAAATGCAAGATCTAACTTGAATTACATTTTGGCTAAGCCAAGAATGGAGGTTTTTTCTGCAATAACTTGAGGTATCCAGGTGTTATGCAGCACCAGCTTTCAATGAACCAAATAGTACAAGTACATGACTGATCCTTCACTTTTTCCCTGCGCTATGCAGCAGTGCCCCTCGGTTGTTCTGCGCTTTTTGTTTGGAAACTGGCTTGAAAGACTAACAAATCTTCCCTGGCCTACAGCCTGTTGCCGCTGATCCAGAGTATATATCCCGTATAAAGTAAGAAAGAGTACTCCTTCTTGCAGGGTATACAAAAAAACAAAACAAAAACGTAGAAAATACATCAGGCAGGATGTGCAATGTTTGTGTTGCCTTGTTTTTCTGACGCTCTCCCTGCAGCTTGTTTATCGCTACAGCCCCAATGGCCCCCCTTCCATCGTCAAACCAAATGAAATGAAGCGTCTATGAAAGGTAAGTGCCATCCGTAGAGAGTGGTGGCAGGAGAGCAAGAGGAACAGAAGCCCAGCAGGCAAAAAGAGGCAGAAGGCAGGTAGGAGGGGAGAGCCCGACACTTTCACAAAAGGCCTTGGCGCAAAAATATGAGGCACATTTGACTGCAATTCTGAAATGTCAACACTTTGATTGTTATTTGTTCTTCCAGTTTTGTTTTTTTTTTTTCCTTTCTTTTCTTTCTTTTAAGTGAGAAAAGTGTTCCGCCCCAGAGTGTGTAATGGACTTGATTTAGAGATGGCATTGGATGGTTGGGTGGTAATTGAATGCAAAAGGGCAATTATGTACCTGATGGAATATCTAGCTAGATATTTAGAAAACATTTCCATTTGCTAGGGAAATGGAAGTAGAAGGCAATGCTAAAAAATGATTGAATCTATGGAAAATCTGGCAATGTTTTAGAGTGTTATGAAACGCCCAGCCATTGTAATCGCCTTAGTGTTGCACAATATCGACTTACCATTGACACATTGGCGGCAACACTGGACCCAACATTTTTTCGTTTTATAACTTTTCGAATACCTTTTTAAGGGAATTCTTTTGACCAAAAAACAATTTTCTATATTTTCTTACATTTTAATTTCTGAAAATAATTAATTTCAGCTCCACCGTACTGTCAGTAAAGTTCTTCTCCTTCAAGTAGTTTCCTTTCCAGCTAATTTGACTCTCAACTGATTAAAAAATTCGCTTCTTATTGAAAATGCTTGAGCTAAATAAATATTATATCCACTCGGTTAATTTCAGACACTTGAGAAGGGCAACTTTCAAGCTGAAATCCCAAGTAAAACTCAACTCATCTTCAAAAAGTTGAAGCAGGGCATTCCTGCTGCCTCGAAAGTTCCCCGAAAATGAAGAGCGTTGAAAACTTAACGTAAACTTAGCCGTAAAACTTGCGTTTAAAAGTGGGTGTACGATAAAATTAACAAGTGGATAATATTCTTATATGTAGTGGTTGGTACTTACGGACTGCATCGACGATTGCGGGCGTCCAGTGGAGCAACAACAACGCTAGGAGGCTGGATGCTGCAACAAAATTGGATGCTGCCATCTGCAGACCCATTATATCTATGATCTCGGTTCGTGTATATCGGGGTAGTATTTGTGGGGAGGGCTTAATAGGTTGAAGCGACAGTCGATAACAACAACGATAGTTTTATAATTTCGATTATTTACACAGCAGCTTCTCTGTCTGTCGCTGTCGCTGTCTCTGTCAGACTTACTCTATTGCTGACGATCGACACCCTCTCGACTCTCTCACTCTCACTCACTCACTCGCTGGCTTTCTTTCGCTAGAGAGAGATGGCAGCAGTATGCACAGCGGAGTTAATGGGGATATGTTTTGAGTGGGTGTGTGGAAAGCAGAAGAAAGAGTGTGTGTGTGGGTGGTGTAAGGGAGTGGAGTGTTTTTGTGTGTGTTTCAGTTGTTGTTGTTGAGGTTTATTGTTTCGTTTCAAATATTTCAATACAATCGTTTCAATCGTTTGTTAAATACATTTTCGCAAGCCGAAAATCATCGGATATAACAAGATGTGTTAGTAAATGCGATGTCATCATCATTATTGGCATGATAGCAACATTTATTGGAATTATTGTAAATGTTGTCACGCCAAATGTTGCGATTGTTGTTTCGGTTTCAGTTGCAGTTGCAGTTCCATTTGTTGTTGCAGATCACACATATTGATTGATTGATTGATTTGTTGTTGTTTGGGGTTTATAGTTGCATCGCAGTTATCATCGTAGTTATCATCGTTGTGGATGATATTCACATGTGGAGGGAAGCTGTTGTTACTTATATGACCATAGACTTTTACCTGGCTTATACTTGAACTTAAATACTTAAAGAACTCTTAAAGAACTACAATATATGTATAGATGTATAATTTCCATTTGATTTATCAAATAAATTCAGAGATATGCAGTTTCTTATTGATTTATATTTTTGTTGCGATTCAAGTTCCAGTTCCTGTGAAGCAAAGAGAACGAACGTTAAGTTTTAAAGTCTGTGGACCTCAAGCATAGGTTCACAGCGACCTTTGTGTGTGTGGTGGAAAATCTGTGACTTGTTCAAGAAACAAAACTAAAAATTCAAAGCTCAGGCAATGTCAGGGATTTTTACACATTTCTTGCTGTCTTTAGAGCCCTCACCGTAGGCGCCCTCATTAAGCCAATCACCTAAAAGCAAGTTCCCCCCTCCCGACACAATGAACAAAGGCCACAAGCCAATAATTACAGTAACAGCCCTACTACACTCTCGACAGCAATTAAAAAGTCGGCTTAGCTCTACGAAAAATCAAACAAAATAGAGAAGGGCGAAAGGAAAAAAAACCCTTACTCGGTATAGGCCAACAATTTGCACCTGACTGTAGAATGCTACTTTTGATTTCTTTGCCATTCTCTCTTTTTCTACCCTTTTTTTTGCATCCACTTTGTTTACATCAACTTATAGACCCACTTAGCACCAAAAAAGAAAAAACAAAAATAGAGGAAAAAACGAAACCATGACTGCATTCAGGCCCTACTCCTTCAATCTCTACCTCTCTATATATGTGTATATGTATGTGTAGGTTATGTATATATCCCCACAGGCTATACGAGTATATGCTCTTGTAAAAATCAATTAAACTTTTCAAGTGAAGTTATAATGGCTGCCGAACCCTTTCCACTTCCCTCCTTTTTCTGGTGCTTTTTTTGGACCCTCTCTCTTACTCTTATGGCTGCACTCCAGCACTCGCTGTTATCATACTCTCTGTTTCGTGGAGGGTATTATGGGATTTACTACATGTTTGAAGTGACAAAAGGGTAGGAACTTCGGTTCTTTATATACCAGACTAACTTATGGCGTTCATGTCGTTCCTATTGAATTGAATGTGAAATTTATTCAGGGAACCAACGACAGCTGTGGAGGCTCATAGTGAAGGTGCATCCCCCTTATCATCATTATTTCGATACATTTTTATTATTTCATCGAACAAAAAAGTATCAAAAAAGACCAAGAACGTTTCTCTTAAGAAAATCAAGCGCTTTCGCTCGAAATTCAAAGAAATTGCTTTCACTTATTGCAAAAGTGTGCTCAGCGAATCAATGTTTACGCTTTATTTATAACTTCCCTAGAGCAGTTGTATCTTTCAGGGTATCCCATAGCTTCCACCTTTAAATCTGTACTTTCTTTCACTGTTTTTGTTGCCTTTCGGCTGGCAGTCAGCTTTCTTATTGTTTTCATAGCCCTCTCCTCGCATTGTTGTTGCAGTTGTCAAAAGTTTTAAAATAATTGGATTTTTTATATGTACGAGTATGAGTATATGCTGCTGTATGTGTATGTGTGTGCTGTAAGCACAGTGCAGCACGAACATTGCAATGCCAGAGAGGAGTGGCGGGATCCAAAGGTACTGTGGTACTGACTGGAAGCACCACTCTAGGAGCACCACTCTAGGAAGCACCACTCTCTCCCGACAGTCGTGCCCCTCCCTCTCAGGCACTCATTCTATATAAATTAAAATTTTCTTTGTTGCAAAAAGAGGGGGAGGGTCGTCGCGTACTTAATGCAGGATTGCCGCAGTCATCGCCATTTGCCATCGTCATCATCATCATCATCGTTTGAGTATTACCCAATTTCCCAGCTGGAGAAAAGTTTTCAACGCCAAATTGTAAACGTCAACAGGCAACAACAGGAGTGCATATGGCAGGGCCCAGCCCCAGCCCCAGCACCACCCCCAGTCCTGCCCTGCCGTGGCTGTGGTGCTAAAACCCCAACCAGACATGACTTCAGACCATGACGAACGTCATGGCTAAAACGTTATTTAAACAGACAAAAAGGAGGCGTGCAGCCAAATCGACCATTTGAAGTGCCTTTCCGTCAATGGTGGGTTCTCCTCTCTCTTTTTGCACAGCATTTTCTATAGCAACAGTAAAGAAAAGGAATGCAATTGTTGGGATAGGCTTGAAGGAAAGTTGTAGGAATTTAGGGGGCGAAATCATGCTCACATATAATAAGGAAAACAAAATGAAGAAAATAGAGGAAAAACCTGTGGAGCCGAGAGCGGGGATTACTTGGTTTTAAAATAATGATACAGCACATCCTCGTACTAAATAAATTCTTCACAAAATATTATAAAGTGGAACAAAGAGCAGAAAGCATTATTCATAGACACATTACAACGAATATCTACTACAATGTTTTGCCCTATATCCTATGCCCAGATCTGTCATCCATTTCCTTTCGTAATTAAATCGTTTGTCCTATTTTCCCTACACCACAAGTCATACAAAATATATTGTTTATCTATCGAAATGGTTTCAACTATAATATTGTCATCCGTTCATTAGGATAATTACAAAGGAAACAACACTTCACTAATTCTGATAAGCCCTCTAGATTTACCTAACTTTGCTACCGATTTCTCGACCTCAATTCTTATATGTATATTTTGACATCTACCTGTATATTATCTATATATTTAATTTTCTACTTCTATTTATCTCAAACTTTTATCTATTTTTAGATAATATTATTTAGCACACATACAAGTTTTTTATTTTTTGTCCATTCTAAAAATAAAACTGTGTCCCTCTCTCTCTAGCGGTGGGAAGCACAATTCCCATTTCGATTCCTTTCCCAAAATAAAAGCAAAATTTTTACATCCTTTCGTTCTGCACACAGCTGCAATTTTTTTTAGTTATTTATTTTTTTTGCTTCTGCTTGTCGCTTTGGTTCTAATAAAAACACTTGACACCAAAAACGGAGGAAAGTTCCTTAAGAAAAGTGGTGCCCAGGCATCTCTTTTGGTTAAGCGAGCAGCAAGCACTGGAACTGGCACTGGCACTGAGGGGACGAGCGTCCTTGTCAAGCTTTAAGTTCCTTTTTAAAGGACTAGTGTACATGTGTATGTATGTCCTGGGGCTATGAATATGACAAAAGGGAAGAAGAGCATGAGATATATAGAAATGGAGAGAAGAAGAATGAATAGAGAGAAAGAGGATAAGATACAGAGTAGGAGGGACAAAGGGCGGAAAACTTTCTGGTAAAGATTTCATGTTTTTTAGAAATTTATTCTCAAGTTTTGTGGTTACTCTGGAAAATTAGGGCCTTTGTTGGGAAAACTCTTTAAGAGGTACATAAAAAAAAACGAAAATATATCCATAAAGTGTTAAGATTAAAGCAATCGTCAAACCGAAAAACAAGCATACAAAAATTGTCAAAAAATCACCGAAAGTATTCAAAGTTTCTTCAACAAAATCAGACATTGAAAAAAAGCATTAATCGAAAAAAGTCTGAGATATTTATGTCCAAGCCGCAACACACATTTTCCTCCATTTTCGCCAAAAATTGTTTGCCATTCTTCAACCATAATTTCACCTTTAAAAAGTCTCCACAAATGAACAACAAAGTGGCTGACAAACAGCCAACAAAATGCGAATCAAAAAAGCAATTGGAAAATGCTTCATTATAAGCGCAGCAGAGTGTGCTATCAAAGAGCAGAAAGAGATGTAGAGAGAGAGAGAGAGAGAGGAAAACACAGAGCTTTGATGGATGTGCCACTTAAATGATTTCCCATTTCCCTGTACTTTCCTTCCCCGGCTGCCTGACAACGGCTACGGCAACGGCAACGGCAACTGCAACAGAGCAACTGCATTTCCATTCATCGATGGATGGGAGTAAAGCTCATATAACTTGTTGTCAATGGGGTTTCCCCCTCGTAAGATACTTTTCCTTGCATACTTTCCCGAGCAGAAAGCCCACTTTGTGAGACAACTAAAATTAATGAGCTTAGAGGGGGATTTCTCTCTTGAAAATATGATGCACTTTTAAGCCCGCTTTATAATGCAAAAGGCAACTCTCAGGGGAGAACTGTTCAACTTTTTCTAACTTTGCACAACATAATAATCCATTAGCAATGGTTTTCCTCGATTTTTTTATACTATTTCTCTTTACTACTTTCCTTTCCCTTTTTTCTCTCCTATTCTTCTTTATTATTCGTATTTACTTTTGTTTTTACTATTTCATTTTATTTTATTATTTTTTATTATTTTATTTCTTTTTTTAAATTTGGCATAGTATTTTTTTTTGTTTCTCTATTCCTTTTTTAATTTTATTATATCTTTTTTTTTATTTATTATATTGGTTTTTTTTTCATTTAACTTCCTTTCTTTAGACACAAAAAAATTTGTGGAATTGCAGCTGCAATCGATTAAAATTAAAATAATTTAATATTTAATCCACACTTAAAACTGCATTAGTTTGCCTCTAACTTCTGCCATATTTAACAACATTCACAGAAGAAAAAACCCAAGAAAAAACACACACAACTGGCATTTCCTTGAGCGCCTTTCCAAAAGGATTTCCGATTTCCCATTACTGGTCTGAGAACATAACTATGTCAATCTGTGTGGGGGCTCCTTCTCCCTCTCTCTCTCTGCAGTGCCCTTTTTCCCCCTGAAATCACTTCACAGCTGCTCCTAAAGCGATTTTAGGCCGCTTCCAATCACAAACACAGATACAAAACACACACACACACAACGATACACACTCGAAGTGGGTAGGGGAAAACCAACAACAATCAGTGGACTAGAACGTGGCGTTAGTTTCGCACCAAATTGCAGATATATCCCTTCCTCCCTTCCTTCAGCCTCCTCATTCAGCGAAAAATTCTGTGAAAAATTGCCCTAACGGTTGCGCTTTAAGGAGAAAAACCAAGTCACAGACCCCCAAGGCCTTTCCAAATCGTAAAACTGCAAATGAAAATAGATAAAAAGTATCTTTCGCCGGGGTCTGCTTAACAGCAACTTCATTTTGTAAATCAATTGAATTTTCAATTGTGTGTGCGGCCAAAGCCAAAAACCAAACCAAATCCAAGGGAACCCAAAACAAGAGAAGACAAAAAAAAAGGGAAAAAGGTAACCATAAAAGTGGAAATAAAGGAAACGACACTATCACAGTGGGGAGTTCTATACCCAAGAAAGGGGATACAGTCCTGCTTATTGGATATTTCCCTTGAAATGGTTACAAGGGGCTGCTGGCCTTTGATTAGCTGTCGAAAATCAAATGAAAATTGATCAAAATTATGGACAAAATCTGTGTCAAAGAGTAAGGGAAAGAATTAAATGGCAAAAGAGGGAGTTGAAGGCCTAAAATAGCCCAAAAAGTGTACATTCTTAAAGGAAATATAAATATTAAATAGAAATACATAAGTCGAAGTCCCAGTCATTTTGTTTGCTCTAAAATGTAACAAACTGATAGAAAGGGTTTTGCCCGAGAGGGATTGAGTCCATAGGCAGGAAAACCTTCGAAATATTTCCTTTTCCTTTACTTATCGCAAGAGAAATTACCTGAAGCATTATTCTTTATAGAAAAATAAAATAACAAAAATTTAAATCAATCAAAAATTAAACCTGCCTCCACAGCCTCCCCAGGGAATAAACTGTAGGAATACTCTCTATAGAAGTTAATGTTTCATAAATTTGACAAATTCATAGAACAATTGGGAAACAAAATTCCACCGAATTTATAACGTGCTTATAGCAGAGACTTTTTTCGAGACACAGGCAGGGTTCAAAAGGAATAAGAGTATGACTTTTTCTGAGAAATCCCCATCCTAAAGGAATGCTTTGAGGGCATTCCCTTTCATTGATAAACGCTCACAAAATCTATTAAAAATCATAAGAAAACCTAAGTATGTCAACGCTTTTCCGATTTTCCAGGTCAAACCTACACACACACACACACACAAAGGTACTGCTGCTGCTGCTGAATCTTTTTAATTTTTTTCCCAAAAGATTTACCATTATATTAGGAATCCAACTATACGTATATATCGGTTACAGTTACAGTTACAAATGATTTCCTTTGCTGAAGGAACTGAAGGGGGAAAATATTAGCCTAGGTTTCACCGTCGAACCATTAACCGGCTTGCGGCACAACACACACGCACATGTACAAGCAGCATTATGGGGTTAAGTGGCATGGTAGTAGGGGGGGAAGGCGGCAGCCGTAGAACCGAGGCAAGCCGAAGACTTTGACGATTTCTGCGGGGCAGGTTTACTTTTGGGCGGGGGGTTGAATTTCTGGTCAGAAAACACTTTTTGCCGGTTCGGGCATTTCCTTTTTTTCTTTCTTAATTTTTTTATATAATTTTCATTGCTTCACTTTTGTTACATATATATTTTTTTACAGATTTTTTTCTTCGATTTTATATATATATTTTTTGTTGTTGTTGTTGTAACGGCTGTGTATTTGTTGTTGTTGAATTATCGCACACGGATAGGATGTTTAGGATACGCGTGCTCTCTGTTTCCTTACACCGCTCGTTACATCCTGCCAAATCCCGAAATTGTACTAAATACCGTAGAAAACTTTTACGATTGGCCAAGGCTCCAAGCATGGGCCCCGTGCTCGTGCTCGTCTTTTCCGCGAGTCCAGTGTGTGCGTCTGTGTGTCGTGCTTTTCCCGAACACCCGAACGTAGGAGACTCGACACGTTCGTGTGTGAGGTGGATTTTCATCCGAGCACCGTAAGAGCGGAAATCATCGGGAAAGCTAACGGACAGCCGGCGCGGGCCGGCACGGCCGAGTCACTCAGAAGCTGAGAGAGAAGAACTCACGGCAACGGCAGAGCATGGAGCACATGGAGTCGTATTGAGGCTGCAGCTCAAGAGAAATGCAGCTCACAATTTAAATTTTTCCTCCAAAAGAATAAAGAATAATTAATTTCATAATATTGGAATTTAGGTAAGAATTTTGTATGGATAATTAAGAACTAAACCCAGCAGCTACCTCAGCCAGTAGTTTTTTTAGATATTCTTTAAGAATGTCAGAGCCAAATGACTCGACTTTTCCTTTTAGTTAAGATCTAAAGAGATGTCCAACTTTTAGCTATGCGTAAATGCTTTTGCATATTTTTGTAAATTTTAAGTCAGTTGAGTTTCAAGACTCAATTTTAACAGAGCAAAACAGAGGAAACTAAAGTGACGCACTTTCTCTTCACTTAAAGTTACTCAAGCAATAAAACTCAACTCCTGCACCAGCAAAACACCCAAAAACTATTTTAAAGCAAGAGAAAATACTCAAATAAAGTGCTCCATACTCTTAGAGTAAAGGATTTAGCTCCAAAGCCTGGCAGCTCCAACTCAAAGAGAAATATCAGAGTAGAAGTACTCAACAAGGAGTTAACAGGATGAAAATGCAATCAGCTAAAGTAGCTCGAACGCAGCATCACTCAAAAAAAGTTACTAGAGTAGAAACTCGACTGTTGAAACTGCCTAAGGGAAGGCTGACTCAAAGAGATAGCAAAAAGGCGACTAACAGGAAACTCACTCTGAAGAGCACTTCTACGCGTGGTCATGCAAAGAGAGCTGATTTGAACTTCAGTCCAAAGAGAGTTAACAGAGTCAAAAATCGACTACTAAATCGACTCACTCAAGAAGAAACCTGAAAGGTAAAGCGACTCAAAAGAGAGCCACCAGAGTAGAAATCGCCCACGCCGAAACGAATCTGAGCTTTTACCGACGCGAAGTCCTCGGCTTGCCGTTCGGCCGCTCACGTTCGTTCTCTTTCGCCTGCCATTCGGCTTCGCCACGACTTTCGTGTATCGTATGAAGGTGAGAATTGGTTACACGAAAGCCCAGCGCCACGGCCATGGACTTTCCACCGAGCGATGCCTGAGCCCGTCGTCAGTCGCGAGTGGAGCGGCATACCGTTATCTGAAAGCGGCTGAAGGAAGGCCACTGAGCACAGAAAACCCCCAAGCAGGACGAGGCAGGAGCACGAGAATTGTGGCCAGCAGCAGATTGTGCTAATTTCTGTGTGAAGCATACTTTTTGGCGCGCAGCTTATAATCTGAATGTCGTCTAAGTGAATGTGAAATGTGACAGGCCGCAGTGACAGTTGACAAAAGCCAAGCGACAAAAAGGAGGAAAACCAAACGATGAAAGCGAGGAACCAAAAGGAGGAAAACCCACACAGTTTGAAAAAAAAAAACAGATGGAAACAAGTTGCTGTTGATGCTGGTCCTGGTCCTGCTTCCTGCTTCGAATCGAGTCCTGTGCTGTGCTGTGTGGGTGCCCCCAGGAGACATTTAACATAATAAAAACGAACGTGTGCGGCATTTTTGTGCTGCTTTAACAGTATCTCGCCAACAGTGTATCTGCATCTGTGTGCTAATAACACACAGACACACACACAGAGCCAAACAAACAATATGTGTTCAAATGTGTGCGTGAAGCAGTTGGGAAAAGTGTCGTAAATCGTTTAGACAGCGAAACGTGGAACCATCCAAAAACAAAAAACAAAAACAAAAAAAAAAGGGAAAAAAGGAAAATGGCAGCGGAAACGATATGTAAACGACACAGTCGCCGTGGGAAAAACTCAACCAAAAACAAGAACCACAAATGAAAAACAAGGAGAAAGGACAACCCCACTGCATTTGTCGCTCATGTGAGTATATTCCCTTCCGAATATTCCATGGATATTCCTTTTGCTTTTCGCGCCACATTTTTATTTATTTTTATGCGGCTTTAATGTGAAAATTGCGTGGGAGGTGTTCGCCCGCGAGTGGCTGTAGGCGTGGCATAATACATTTTTATGTGCGATTTCTTTTGTGAGTGTGTGAGAGTGTGTACAGTGTCTGTTAATAATGTAACTCATCAGAGTTCATAAAACTCCCTTACAACACCATAAATGCAATTAGAAAGAGGAGCTGAAGAGCCCAAAAGAAAAGCCCCAAAAAGTGATAAAAATCACACATTAATTTAATTTGATTATTTTTTTTTTTTTTTTGGTTAGAACAGTCGAGTGATTTAAAAGACAAATGTTATAAAGAATTTGTTAGACCATTGGTAATTTATTGAATTAACAAAACTTCATATTTGTATACAAATAAAATTCGTATAGGGAAAAACACTCAAATGTGGCTCATAATCAGCTTTATGACTAATTGAGCGCGATAACTTCAAGCAAAAGCTATGAAAATGTGGACAAATATTAAGTTAAAAAAATATATTAATTTGGTAGAAGATGAACTTACAAATAGGAACATCGGCAAATAGAAATTACCCTAAGGAGAAGATCCATTTCAGACATATTTTTAGGCATTCATTTTAATTATTTCCTTTGAAACCAAATTAATATTTATTTAGTTTTCAATCCATCGAAACCAGAACCTGTTTGTTAAAGGCATTCCATTTATAGATTTAATTAACGGAAAGCAGGTTTTTTCTTACACAAATAGTTTTCATGTTTAAATAAAAGAAAAAAAAACTCAGCTACAAATGCAAATTATAAATATTTATAATCATATCCCATTCAGACCGCAGTTATACATTTTTATGCAGGAAAAAGCCAAACGTAAACAGAAATACAGAAAAAACTCGAAACTAAAATTCAGGCAAATAAAATCTACATATTATCAAAAACCATTTTCCCTGGAATTTCGCAGGAAAAAAAAGCCAGAAACAGAGACTGAAAAAAGTAAAATTCCATTTGTATTTTAGCTAAAAAAAAAAAAGATTTTGCCAAATGCAAATGGAAATGCAACGAAAAAGGACGGATATTCCAATATCAATTGCAAACAAAATGATAAAATTAGGCAAATGGAAGCGCAAACAGCATTAGCTTTGACATCAATTTCACCACAGAAATGGTACAGAAAAAAACCAATTGAGAATTGTAATGCAATACTCATGTTTCGAATCGAATTTAAAATGAATTTTCATGTTTAATTTAATTACAATATTCACGGGGAAAATAAAGGGGAATTAATTGCGGGTTGATTTCGTGTTGAAATGTTTATATAAATATATTATTTGGTGCTTTGCCTTTGCTTTTTTTTTAGATTTGTGCCTTTAAAATGTGAAACTCTGAATGAAATATTCCTTGCAAAAACGAAATTTTGAAGACAGTTTGAAGGAGGATCTTTTCTTGTGACCTTTTGTATGATGCCGTGTGAAATTTTGCATGAATAAGTGAGTAGATTCTTTTTTTATCTATGATAAATATTTTATATATAAAAGGGTATATTTGGCATCTCTCACGGAGTAACTGGCTATGATTGTATGGCTTATTTGTCTGTATTTCATACTCCGACTGACCAACGAAATGAAGTATCTGATCAGGGCACATCTTAAATAAAGAACTGGCCAGTACCAGTACCACTAAATACCAGACAAACATATTATAAAATAACAGAACAAATACCAGAAATCACCAGCAAACTACTTAAAGATAAACAAGAAAATATTAACAAAAAAAAAAGTACTAGAAGAACCAGAGAAATACAGGAAAATAAGCCATACAATTTTACTACCAGTAGGACTCTCAGGAAGACAAAATCGAAAAGCTTTCACAAGTCGATTTCTTTAAAATATTTGTATGTTTAACAGCCACAAAACTAAGTCCAAAATAAGCCACTTTTTGACCATATTGTTCTCCACAATTGCTCAGTTCTTTTTCTACAACAAATGATTTCCCATTAAAACCCGCTGGCAAAAACCATCTTAACTCTTAACTTCTTTCAATAATCTGTTGCAATAGTGCGAGCATAAAAACAAACTTTGTTCTCCCCCCTCGCCACCCATTATCCCACACCTACGAGTATGAGCAGCAGATCCCTGTTAATCCTTCGCCTGACAACAAAACACTTAAATCTCTACTCTACCAAACTTAAGCTTCAACAATCTGTCACAAAGGGGTCCCCCTCATCCCCACTCTATCGCCCTCCCATCGCCCTATCTCACACGCGTGTGTGTGTGTGTGTGTGTGTCTGCTGTTCGCTGGATAAATCGTAAAAAATACCAAAGGGATAAAAAATGAGAAAGAGAACAGAACTGAAATTTTGTGCGTAGTCAACGCAACAAGCAAATGCACTCAAAATGGAATCTATAAAAAGTTCCAACAACAAAACGTGTCCCACTGATAAAACATTTGCCAAACATTGCAACTTTCCTTTCACATTTTTTTTATGGTCAAAGAGTAAAAATACAGGGGCGAAAAAGGTATTCATAAAATCCGTGAATAAATGATAGTGGTAGAGAGCGATGCGTGAATGCTCTTAAAAGTGTATTTTTATGCTGAAAACGTCGTATAAAATGGGAAAGAGTTTTCCTATAAATACGTATCTTAGGATCATTCATTATTATTCCAGTAGCCAGATATGGTATACAGATTTTTTGTTTTTTGCATGAACGTGTCCTACGACATTCCCAGGGAATGGCTGTGTGTAATTCTGATCCTTATCTGAATCTTAGATTACTAAGCGAATTACCAAAAAAACTTATCAAAATTACAAGAATAATCGCCAGAAAAATAATAGAAAATTAACATACAAAATAATAGAAAACATAATAAAAAAAAATCCCATAAAATATACTAGACAATTTGACTGCAAAGTCATGGGAACCCCTTTCAGGGTCAGGGTATAACAAGAGGACTCTATGGACACAGTGGGACTGCAGCAGCAGCAGTGGCAGCAGGAGCATCAGTAGAAGGGCGAGAGGGAGGAGAGAGTCCTTGCACAAACATGCAGGGACATGCTGGAGGAGCAGGCACGTAGCCTGTTTGCTATTTGGTGTTGCATACTTTTACGCGTCTCTTTAGTATTAATTTGCAAAGGTAACCCGCATTCAGCAGAGAAAGAGACAGTAGAGACAGTAGAGACAGTAGAGACAGCAGAGACAGCAGAGACACCAGACACCAGCGAGAGAAAGGACTTCCACTCCCCACAGTGCTACTCATTATGCATGCTTGTCCGCACGTACACCCGTACGTAGTGCTACGTCCTGCTGTTGCTGTTGCTGTTGCTGTTGTTGCTGCTTCATCCTGGGGGCAACTCTTTTGAGATGCCCCACGCACAAAATCCCCACCCCCCTCCCTCCCACATAGACAGAGACAGGAGAGTTTTCTGTTCAGTTTTCTGTGTGCTAACTTTTACCAATTTCATTTTCAATTGACTGTCGACCAGAGCACGCAGCCGGGCCTGGCTAACCACCAGCAATTGAGCGTATGAAATGGCAGAAAGGACCAAAGCATCCTGCATCCTGGGCCCCTTACAAAAAAACTTTTCACACACACACAGAGAGAGAGAGATCAAGAGAGATACAAAAGCAGGCGGCAGCGGCAGGCAGCAAAGTTTTCTTCCTGGAGAAAGAGAATCCTTTTCTTTCATTTCAATTTCGTTAGCAGTTTTTCTTGTACGAGTATTATGCTACTTATTTTATTTCAAGCGTAAAGGACGTGAACCGTGTGTGTGTGTGTGTGCTCCATCTATGGGTATCCCCATATCACATATCCTTTGGCCTTAAGAAAGTTTTCCTGCGAAATTACGCCACGCACAATTCATTTGCAAATAGAGGAACAGTTTAATTTGTTGCCTTTGTGTGTGCTGCTGGGGATTGAATGACAAGGATATGCCTGCTGTCCGGTTCACAGTCATCTGAAAGGGACCCGCATTCGATTCAACAGAGAGACACACACACACACACACACAAAGGCAGACACTCATACGCTGCGAAATGAATTGGGAAAAGAGACTTCTTCTTTATGGCGAATATTGCATTAAACGAGAGGCCAGGGCTTGGGCAGTTCAATTTTAGGGGGGTGCCCGTGGCCATTACCGTGCCCACCTTTCCGAACCAAAAGGGCAGTAATTAAGCTTCAATCTCATTCCCAATTTTAGGCAATGCACATAGATGCCCCTTTTTAGGGAGATATGGCAGGATCTTTCCCTCTGAGTGAAAGACAAATATCTGTAGAGCACTGTTTACATCGCATTCCATGGCAATTTCCCATAGTTTTGCCCCAAACGAATGTCTAGACACTTGAAAAGCTTTCTCAATCTTGCATTGGCACGTAGATTGATAATCGAGTAAAGAGCGACAACACACACACACACACACACACAAACACACAGAAAAGAAGAAAGAAAAAACACACACACACAAAAGGGACTCCATGTGAAGTGTTCCGTATAGAAGACGTTGTTGACCGGATTTGACAGGCAGGCACAAACTGACAAATGAGCAGGCAAGATGGAAAGATGGGCATGCTTTGCTGAGAAAATTGTAATGTTTACCGTCGATATAGAGAGAGAGAGAGAGAGAGACCCCCGACGCTTTTGAGCCACAAATTGTAGCTGTTAAAATTACTGAAATGGGTCGCTGTCCATTCCATTCTAGAGATTTTCAATTTGACAAACAGATTTCCACTTCTAATTTGGGGACAGTGCAAAGCACTAATTTTTCGATATTATACTCAATTAAATAATGATTAAAATACTTTACTAAATGTGAAAAGAAAGCCTCCAATCCAAGGAATAACTAAGCGAAAAATGTAAAATTTAGGGAGTAAATAAATAAGATTTTTACTACAGTAACGAAAAGAATTCCTCTCCAATCAATGAATTCATCCAGAATTAAGTTTCTATAATAATTTATAGATATATAAATCCATTACCGCGTATCATTTGTTACAATTTCCGCACATATTTTAAGTTATGTCATTGAATCATTTATGTTGCATGGAAACTGTAGTTGCGAGTATACTCCATTATTTCATCAGGAAAAAAGTGTAGAAATATTGCATCTTTTATAGAATATTTAAAAATCAGTAAAAAAAACACTTTTAAATGTAGAATCGTTAAGAAGAAATATAACCTAAATAATGGATATTATATAGTGTACGGCATCTCCATACTTTTCAACAGATTTTGTTTGATTTTTATTAAATTACTGCATATCTCTGATTTTTTAATTCATAAATATTAGTTACATCCTCAAGAGTTCTTTGAATATTCAATCAAGTATAAACTTAAATTTGCACATTTACTCACGTTTTGAAACATCTCCATAATGTGGCTTCTTATGCGCTTCTCTCTTGCTTGTAAAACAGTTTATGATTTAATGACATCGGCTATAAAGAATAAATAAAAGATATATGTGTTATTTAAGAGTATATAAACATTTTGTACTAATTTTATAAATATTCCTTATGCTTTATCTTTACAGTTTCCTTCCCCCTTGCAAAACGATGATACGACCGATGATGTGTGGCCTATCAAAAAATTGTGATGATAAATATAAAATACTGCCATAAATAAACCAATTTTATACTATATAAAGAAAAAACAAAGAAAATAAAATATACAGTCTATAAAAAATACATCGAAGTTGTGTGTGTTTTTTAATGTGAATTGTGGGCCAGGACCTCGACGAAGGTGTATACCATTTATGGTGCAGAAAATGATTGTTATTATATGCCTCTTATTATTATGATTATTATTGTTATCAAACCCCAATGTCAAGGCGGGCGCTCGGGAGTGCCAAAAAGTCAAAGAAGACCAAAGGAAAAGCTTGGGGAAACGTGTCCCGCATAAGGAGCTTCTCTTTCGTTTCTTCCATGTGCGGATCTCCAACAATTTATGTATTGTTTGTTTATTTGCTTATGCAGTGCTTTGGCTCCTGCTTTCCTTCTAAATTTCTTCCACCTTTCCCCACACACACATGCGGGGGGGGCACCCACCACACAGGACATTCTTTTTTCTTTTGCTTTTTGCGGCAGTTGCTCATGCAAATTTATACACCTTCACCGACTGCCATCATAAATATCTCCCCGCCCGAAAATATATCTCGCGCCGCTGTCGTCTGTTCCTCTGTCTTGTCGCCATGTCACGTGTCGGCATCATTACCGCACGTACCGGAATTATTTATACAAGAAAGTATATATCGTTTATAAGGCCAGGCCAGGCCAGGCCAATTGTAGTGCCAAGAAGAGCAGAACAGAAAAATAAGAAGAAACTGTTGGGGAAGCACACTTGAATTTTGGTTACTCTTAAATCATGTTTAAGGAATTGCAATTATTTTTGTTATGGGGCATTCAGGTTCTCCAACGTTTCTCTCCCACATTCTAACACTGATAAAAAGCTTGCACCTCTCGATATTTATACAAAAATCTGTTCCCACTTTAATAGACTTCAAAATGTCCCAAAAATTCTTCACAGTGTATAAAATTGCTCGAGAGATTACAGAGCGTAATGGAGGATGGACAAAAATTTAAATCACCCGAAAATGTGTGGCATGAGCGGAGCTAATTGTTCAATATTTGTGGGGCCAAAGGCAGCTGCCATGGCCCTTGGGTGCATGTGTGTGGGTGGGAATTTACGACACAATGGCTTGGATCGCCTAAAACCAGGCAACAAAACATGCCAAGCATGTCGTGCGCCCCCCAATCGACTGAGCAGAGAGGCTCAACCCACGGACCCAACACTATAGATATCTCGCTCACTCTAGGCCGCTCACACTATGGCCATCGCTCTATGCCCCCTTCCGAGCGTCACAGTTAATTTGTTGACAGCTCTGTTTCTGCAGAGGGAGAGAAAGAGAGAGGGGGGAAGGAGCTGGTGTGCAGGAGTTTCGGGGGCCCATGATATGGCTGCAGGACAAATGTCCAGCTGTAGGTCCGTGGGGACTACAAGACGGGCAGTCGTGTAAAGTGTGCAAATGACCAAAGAGAAAACCCTGAGAAATATTCCAGGACACAAAATTGTAATTAGTGGGAAGGGAGCAGAAGGCGATGCCAAAGGATATTCGACAGGCAGTCAGACAAGCGAAATATATGCAGAAATGTATGGTTAAATGGGGAAACAGTGTCCTTAAGTCCTTTGATTGGAAGTTGGATAATCTATGATATTTTTATTGCTTTATAAAGTAGATTAAATGGAGAAGTGTTCTCGGTGCTTAAAGAGCCAAAACGATGGTAATCTTAAAATATCTGGTATCAAATAATGCTAGCCCCAAGGTAAATACCCATCAAAACTTTCCCCTGCCTATTGTTACTCACAAAAGAACAACAACAAAAAAAATAAACAGGAAATATATTCTTAAAAAAAAACCCATAATCAAAATGAAACCTAATATGATCTCCGGGACCACCTAACAAGCACCTCATTATAAGCAGACCAACAACAACCTACCTAGAAAACACCCACACACACACACACAATCCTAGTCTTTTATCTTTTGCTAAAGTCCTTTTGTTGTCCTGTGAACTGCTCTCAACGTAAATGTGTAGGGCACCCCCTGCAGCGGCTGACAATCAAAAAAAAGGAAAACCACATTTTACTAGAATAACTAAAAAAAAAATACTAAAAAAAATCCATGTAACAAAAAATAAAAGAAGTTTTCAATATATTTCTGATTTGATTATGTGGAAACCCTAGGAGTGGGTATGATATTATTTTTCCAATTCTTATAAATACATTTTCGAGTGCAATCATCAATTGGTGTCCTCCTCCAACGATTGTCCCTTTTTCTCCTTACTTCCTTCCTTCCTTCTCTCTCTCTCTCTCTCTCTCTCCGTGTGTGATGTCAAATTTCAACCATCAATGTCGTCATCCCTCAACTAATTGGGTTTTCGTTTTCGGGATCTTTCGTCAACAGAGAATATATATATATAATATATATATGTATAAAAAATTCGGCGTATATTTGAGGAGGGGTCGTGACACAAGGAAGTGGAAAATGGAATTCCAGAGCAGGTGGAGAAAAAGATTAAATTTCCTCGTTACGACAGGAAAAATTTGTGACAAAAAGTGAAAATAAATATTGAATTATTGATATACAATATCCTTAAAAAATTGATAAAGAGCCCCTGACATTCCTTTTAGAGGGTGCGTTATTCCATAAATATGTAACATAAAAATATGTAAGTAAGTATATATCAAAGGGTTCTGTGTCTCCTCATTTCAAATGCAGCTGACAAGAGACGTTGATGTATTAAATGCGGAAATCTTTTGACTTTGGAATGCGTTTGGAATGCCGGAATGTTTTTGCCAAATGTTCACTTCAATTCCCTTTCTGGTGGGGTTGTTGAAGGGGTGTTCTGGGAAGCCTTTTTGGTGAGATTTCAATTGAATTTGGGTTTTGTTAAAGGTGCCAAATTAATGCCAGAGCAATGAGCTTTTGGTTTTTTTTAGCCTTAATGTTCTCTATAAATTCTGAATTTCCACAAAGATTATGTTTTTTGGAACACATTTCTTACGGGACACACGATAATTCTGGCGCCTTGGTTCTCCCGCCTTATTGTCAACGCAAATATTTGTTTATTTATCTGTTGACGTAAGGCGTAAGGTAACCCACCATCCACCCATCGCCCCCCACGCACCATCATCACTCCCCCACATGGACGCTCTCAGCATGGGGGCTCTACCGTATTTCTTTTTATGACGAGTGCGCTTTCTACTGCCTGACTGCCTGCGCCTGCCATCCATTTCTTTTCTCGTTGGGTTTCCTTCAACATATTTTGCATGTTTGCATACAAAATATCATATTTGCTGAGATTGTTTCATTAAAAAAAAAAAAGAAAAGAAAACCAGGTGTCGGGTGTTGTGTGAAACATATTTCATCTGCTCTGCTCTGCCTCCTAGTTCTAGTTCGTAGTCCGTAGTACGTGTTTAGCTTTAGCGCCCCCCATCTCCGCAAGATACTCGTACTCTCTCCTGCCACCACAGCTTGCCACATGCGTGAGCCATAAAATGTTCATATTACCAAAAATAGCAAGGCAGTAAGTGCTGCTATACCTGGGGAAATTGGTTTTCCCACGCACCCGAAAAAATATATATCTGATATTTGTAGTCAAAACTGTTTCCTTCTTTTTTGTGTATGCTGAACAGGTGGACTTCGCTGGTAAGCTCGTAAAAGTTTACCCCCAAAATCCTGTTGCGGCTCAATGCATTGGAAAGGCATAAAGCCTACCAAGTATGCAAGCGTTTTGGCCATAAAAAATGCTAGCAAATATTGGAATCCCTGGGCTAAAATGTTGTAAAACTTGTGGGTAAAAGTTTTTTGTATGTAAGCTGGACCTGAAAATAGCTGAGGGTGATGAGGGTATGATCAGTGATATTTTTCGGTTATTTTTAAGTTATGTAAATTATAAGTAATTCATTTTTTGTCTTTCCTTTCAAATGACTAATTGGCGCGCCTATTGCCTTCTTATATGTTAAATGTCTCTCTACACTTGCTCTTCCGTTCACTTGAGATGTCAACAACTAGCCACCTGTCCTGCCACCTTTGAAAAGGACCAGGGACCACATAGGCACAACCCAAAAAGTTACTCAATTATTTCGTTGACAGTAAGGCACATAAAAATACAAATAGATGACACCCGGAGACAACAGAAGAGACACCCAGAGACAGAACAACGGAGAAACGAAAGGCAACCCGAAAGAAGTTCTTACAAATGGAGGGGAAGAAGTAGAACCTTATCTTTTGAGGGTTTGAGGCATTCATACAGAACCGTATCCTTGGGACAACGATTTGTCCTGCTGTTGTACCTTTCCTTTTGCAGGGGTTCTGGCGGCTGCTTCCTTTATCGAAGATTAAGTGCGATGACATCGTTATACCCGGTAGTCATAGTCATAGTCATAGTCACAGTCCCAATGTTCGTTAGTTATATTGTGTTGAAATGTGCTTACAGCACATTAATTTCTTGCACCTGGCATTAAGATAATTGTTGCCTTTTGTTTGGCAAAGACGACTACGACACGGCGACGACACGGCGACGACACGGCCCTGGCTATGGGTAGATAATCAACTCGCAATTTGGCAATGTGTTTCGGGAGAGCCTCCTGTTTGATAACATCCTTCGACTAGTGTAATGCGTGTAGGGCCTTGCTAAGGGCTTGCATTTGTGTGAATATATGACAGGGAAGTCTCACGACTAAGCGGATTAAATTATAGGAAAACAATTAGGAACCGTCAACTGTACAGCTAATATTTTGAGATTCCATCAAGTTTCTGCATTTTTTCAGTTTTTCAGTTAGAAATCTTCAATTTAAATCCTTAAATTAATCCCATTTCTCATATTTCTAATCAAAAGCCACCGAAAATATCCAATTTTTTTGTTGTTTGGTTTAATCAAAAAATCATCATCATGGTTGATGACATTGCAAATTTAATCAAACAGAAATCAACTTTTAATGGGGATTTGTTCACTCTCTTTGAACTTTGAACTCCACACACACACACACACTGAGAAACATCCGCAAAGTCAAAGGCAATTGCGTGTAATTTAATAACAAAATAATAGGAAGCAATGACTAAAAAAAGCAACCAAAACAAGGGCGGGAGGTTGGTGGCTCTTTGCGGA